CAAAAATGGGGCGAAACGGTTGCAAATGCTCCCCTGAAAGGTTTGGCGGTCAAAACAGAAGGCTGTTTATCACAGGAGAAGAAATCAGCCCTCGACAACTTAACCGGCAGAAAAAGATTTTTTTGAAAAAATCCCTAAGCCCCGGGGTCACAATTTCATAAAAAATCTGACTTTCAGCAATTCACTCAAAAATGGTGCCAAACGGTTGGAAATGCTCCCCTGGGAGGTTTGGAGGTCGAAACAGAAGGCTTTTTATCACAGGACAAGAAATCAGACCGTTTGGCACCATTTTTGAGTGAATTGCCGAAAGTCAGATTTTTTCAGAAATTGTGACCCGGAAGCTGTACGCCGGCTCCCTCGGCCAATAAAGCGAGATGAGCGCCGCAACCCCAGAGTTGGTCACTACTGGACCTAATGGTCAGGGGTCCCTTTACCTTAACCCATTGTCCTATTTCTGACTGCATGTCTCCCTCAAAAACCGGGATGGCTTCTGTAATTCCGGGACTGTCCCAGGAAAAGCAGGACACATGGAAGTTAGGAGCCTTTGATTACCCTCCTGGATAGTTTTCCAAAAAACTGTAACATGACTTCTATCGAGTGCTTCATGTTCCTCCTGTGTAGCTCTCCTTTGCTTGCATTCTGGACTCACAGCTGTCCATAGAGGCACAGGTCAGTTCTGTGTCCAGGACGGCTGTCTACCAGCTCCACCTGGTACGCAGGCTGAGACCCTACCTGCCCACGGACTGTCTCACCAGAGTGGTGCATGCTCTGGTTATCTCCCGCTTTGACTAAGTGGAGCTACCTTTGAAGGTGACCCGGAAACTACAACTAATCCAGAATGCAGCAGCTAGACTGGTGACGGCCACCGAGACCACATAACACCGGTCCTAAAAGACCTACATTGGCTCCCAGGACGTTTCCAAGCACAATTCAAAGTGTTGGTGCTGACCTTTAAATCCCTAAACGGCCTCGGCCCAGTATACCTGAAGGAGCGTCTCCACTCCCATCGCTCAGCCCGGACATGGAGGTCCAGCTCCAAGGGCCTTCTGACGGTTCCCTCCCTGCGAGAAGTGAGCTTACAGGGAACCAGGCAGAGGGCCTTCTCGGTAGTGGCACCCGCCCTGTGGAACGCCCTCCCTTCAGATGTGAAGGAAATAAAAAACTATCTGACTTTTAGAAGACATCTGAAGGCAGCCCTGTTTAGGGAAGTTTTTAATGGTTGATGTTTTATTCTGTTTTTAGTGTTCTGTTGGGAGCTGCCCAGAGCAACTGGGGAAACCCAGCCAGGTGGCAGGGTATAAATAATAAAGTATTATTATTATTATTATTATTATTATTATTGTGATACCTCAGGTTAAGAACTTAATTTGTTCTGGAGCTCCGTTCTTAACTTGAAACTGTTCTTAACCTGAGGTACCACTTTAGCTAATGGGGCCTCCTGCTGCCGCCGCACCGCCAGAGCACGATTTCTCATCCTAAAGAAAGTTCTTAACCCGAGGTACTATTTCTGGGTTAGCGGAGTCTGTAACCTGGAGCGTCTGTAACCCGAGGTGCCGCTGTCTTGCTGTCCCATTTGCCCCAGCTGGACTGATTCCCTTGGGTGCTCCAAGCCTTGGTCTGACTCTGAGTCACTGTAAGGCAAAACCCCACCCCTGGCTGACGTGCCAAGCCTTGATGCTGGGAGTGACTTTCTGCAGAGCCATCTGGTAAACAGATCAAAGATGCCCCATGGGTGACCAAAAAAACCACCACCCCAGATTGCAATGCCCAGGCTGCATGTAAGGATAAAGGCAGCCAATCTGAGTTGTTTATACTCATTTGGCTGCCATGCTCATTCACTCGCTGCTTCACATCATTTGCATGTTCTTTCTCTCTTTCTCTCTCCTGCAGCTAAGAGTTTGCTTCTTCTTTTCTTAAGGAGACAAGAAGAGGGAGCTAGAGATTTGCATTCCCATCAAAACTCCATGACTAAAGTCCCTTTGGAGGTAGAGAGATTGAGCAGAGGAACTGGCACCCATTTTTTCATACTGAAAGAGAAAAGAAAGGGACGAGGAAGGTGATTGGATGCTGGTTTTGCTGGCCTGTTGCTCATTTGATTCTGCCGGTGGAGATCCCTGGTGTATGTTGCAGCAGATTTGCTCCTGGGGGGTATCAAAGGTAAGTCTTTTTTGCACATACCGTATTTTTTGCTCTATAAGACTCACTTTTTCCCTCCTAAAAAGTAAGGGGAAATGTGTGTGCGTCTTATGGAGCGAATGCAGGCTGCGCAGCTATCCCAGAAGCCAGAACAGCAAGAGGGATTGCTGCTTTCACTGCGCAGCGATCCCTCTTGCTGTTCTGGCTTCTGAGATTCAGAATTATTTTTTTTCTTGTTTTCCTCCTCCAAAAACTAGGTGCGTCTTGTGGTCTGGGGCATCTTATAGAGCAAAAAATACGGTACTTTCCCCACTCAGCATCCACAAGAGCATGGAAAAAAGCACTTAGAAGTGGGTGGCGAAGATAAACCAGCAAATCAACTTGCTGCCCATGCCCCTAGAACATTCTAGAATTAGTGGTATGTTATCCACTAACTATTGATTTTTTAAAAAGTATTTTTAACCCACTCTTTGGTCAAAAAAGGCTCCCGGAGTGGCTTACAACGATCGTTAATAAGCCAGACAGGAGCGACGGACAGGTTTCTTGGAAATTCCCTGCGTGGCCACTCTCTCCACACCAGAGTTAGCACCCTGAAAGAACAATGAAACCCCTGCTAAGATTGTGATTTTTCCAAACAAATAAATAAATAAATAGTTTGTATTTTCCAAGGAGGCAACAGGATCAGGCTCACAGGAGTCGCCCTCAGAGCACATTGTGTATGTGAAGACAGACGGGGGAGAAATGTGGTTTATAGGTGAAGGAAAGGAGAGCATTTCTGTGTTCCGTGTATGATTGAGGATGGTGGCAGCCAGGTCCTTTATGTGGCCCTGGGAAAGGAATATACTGTATTTTTTGCTCTATAAGACTCACTTTTTCCCTCCTAAAAGGTAAGGGGAAATGTGTGTGCTTCTTATGGAGCGAATGCAGGCAGCTATCCCAGAAGCCAGAACAGCAAGAGGGATTGCTGCTTTCAGCGATCCCTCTTGCTGTTCTGGCTTCTGAGATTCAGAATTTTTTTTTTTCTTGTTTCCTCCTCCAAAAACTAGGTGCGTCTTGTGGTCTGGTGCGTCTTATAGAGCGAAAAATACGGTAATGTACGCCGCGGATGGCACAGAGAAGCCACAAGTAAAAATGTTATGGTAGGATATGCCTTGCTGCTTTTCCCCAAGGCATTTTAAGACATGGAAGCAGTGAAACCATGCCACAATTTTAACAGATTTTAACAAAATCAGATATTTCTATCCCCGTGCCTTCAGAACCTTCTGGCAATTGATCATTCTGAAACACAGACTGGCAACACTGAAACATCTTTCTCTCCTGCATCCAACATAGATCTTTAAGGCTTATTATGTTGTTCTTGTTGTTGTTGTTGTTGTTGTTTTGTTGCTGTATGGCAGGTAGTGAGAGTAGAGACCCTGAATGACTAGAGAGAATTAGTATTTCTGTGTTTGCTGAAAGATAATGTGTAAGATTTAGGTAAGTCTAGGGGAAGCAAGCCTTAAGAACGTTCACACAGCGCAACCCATCAGTGTCTTATGCGTGTGATTTGCTTTCTTTACGTTACAAGATCAGTTCTAAGGCATACACAGAGAAATTTGGATTTGAATAAATGTGTGCAATTTTCCTTGGGGCTTTCTAAAAGGAATTTTTACTGCACTCCAAATGGATGAAGTCATCTGAAAGTGCATTTTCAGCCTTCATTTTACATAATTAAACATGCACTTATTTAAATAAAAAGTGTCACAAAATAGGCATTCATAGTAAATTCTTACAGTTTAAAGAAACTCAGCTTTTAAAATAAGACTTTGAAAGTCCAGAACTGCCAAAGGAACTTTTCTACAAAATCCCACTCAGCATAATAATAATAATAATAATTTATTATTTATACCCCGCCCATCTGGCTGGGCTTCCCCAGCCACTCTGGGTGGCTTCCAAAAAAATATTAAAATACTGTAATACATCAAACATTAAAAGCTTCCCTAAACAGGGCTGTCTTCTAAAAGTCTGGTAGTTGTTGTTCTCTTTGACATCTGGTGGGAGGGCGTTCCACAGGGAAGGCGCCACTACCGAGAAGGCCCTCTGCCTGGTTCCCTGTAACTTGGCTTCTCGCAGGGAGGGGACTGCCAGAAGGCCCTTGGTGCTGGACCTCAGTGTCCGGGTAGAGTGATGGGGGTGGAGATGCTCCTTCAGGTATACAGGACCGAGGCCGTTTAGGGCTTTAAAGATCAGCACCAACACTTTGAATTGTGCTTGGAAACGTACTGGGAGCCAATGCAGATCTCTCAGGACCGGTGTTATGTGGTCCCGGCAGTCACTCCCAGTCATCAGTCTAGCTGCCGCATTCTGGATTAATTGCAGTTTCCGGGTCACCTTCAAAGGTAGCCCCACGTAGAGCGCATTGCAGTAGTCCAAGCGGGAGATAACTAGAGCATGCACCACTCTGGCGAGACAGTCTGCGGGCAGGTAGGGTCTCAGCCTGTGTACCAGGTGGAGCTGGTAGACAAACGCCCTGGACACAGAATTGAGCTGTGCCTCCATGGACAGCTGTGAGTCCAAAATGACTCCCAGCTTTAACAAGCTGCCGTTCCCAGGATCCCCCACAACTGTTAAAAGGAGGGTATAAGAGAGCTTTGAATGCAGTGCAGATGTGCACAGAGTCCGCTGAGAAAGTTGTGACTGCTGCAAGACGTTTTTACATCCCCTAGTCTGCTCCAGTGTTGAGACTGTGTCAGTAAGAAATAAAACCATCTCTCTCTTTTGCAGATCACCCCGACAGATTGTAGTAAGATCACAGGAAGTTCCTAACCCTCCAACCAACAACACACCTCTTTGGCTCCATAATGAACAGGACTGTGGCTTCTAACATGTCGTCTCCACCCCAGAGCAACTGGAGTTTCCCCTTCCACACCATCCAGCCATGTAGAAACAGCACAGATATTACTCTGTTTCTAGTCGCTTCTTACAGCTTGGAGACCCTGGTAGGCCTTTTAGGAAACTTGTGCTTCATCGGCATCCTGGCCAGACATAAAGAGAAAGCCGCCGTCACCAACATATTTCTCGCCAATCTGATAGCCTCAAGCTTGACGATGTGCATATTCTGCTTGCCGTTCACTGTCACCACAGTCTTGTTGAAGCACTGGATATTTGGCGAAGCCATGTGCAGGGTGACCTTGTTCATCCAGTGCACGTCTTTGACCGTCTCCATCCTGTCGCTTGTGCTCATTGCTTTAGAAAGGCACCAGCTCATCGTAAACCCCACCGGCTGGAGGCCCAGCCTCTCCCAAGCCTACCTGGGCATTGGCATCGCTTGGATCTTTGCTTCTTTCTTGTCCTTGCCTTTCGTCGCTTACAGCACCTTGGGCGATGTCTTCCCGGAAAAGCTCCGCAGAACGGATTCTTTGGCGAGCAAGGCCGTTTGCTTCCCCTCCTGGCCGTCGGATGTTTACAGGCTCACCTACTCCACTGTCTTGCTGCTCGTGCAGTACTGCATCCCTCTTCTCCTCATCGCGGTGTGCTACCTGAACATCTACCTGCGCCTCCGGAAGAGGGAGGACATGTTTCGGAAGAAGCACGAGTGCAGTTGCCGGGCGAGCCACCTGAAGCGGATCAATATTCTGCTGGCGTTAATGGTCACCGCCTTCGCAGTCTGCTGGCTGCCGCTTCATGTTTTCAACACCATCGATGACTGGAACTACAAAATCATCCCCCACTGTATCCATGACCTGATCTTCTCCCTGTGCCATCTGGTCGCCATGGCATCAGCCTGCATCAACCCCGTCATCTACGGCTTTCTCAACAAGAACTTCAAAAAAGAAGTGAAGGCCCTGATTCTGGGTTGCCATCACCGCTCCTCAGCGCAGGAATATGAGGTGATACCTGTATCGACCAGGCAGATGGAACTCTCCAAGGATTCGCTGAGGATAAGCGGTCAGCAGAATCCTATTTAACTCCTAGGCTGAACCTTCAGAGTCCTGAGGCTTGGACCTCACCTATATCTGCTAGCTCCTCCATCACCACCACCACCACCCCCACCACCACCACCAAGTTGCAGTATCTGTCATTCTCCAATTTGCAGAGGACAACTGTCTGAAGGAGACTTATAGGATAAGGCATCGGACTTCCCATACCCCAACCCATATAAATAAGAGACCTATCAGACCGGGTTTTGAGTAAAAACAGGCTACAACTTTATTGAATACAGATGAAAGAGCTTTGGTTTGGGGCAATCTAAATACTTCCAGCCGGCCTGCCGGAAGTGACGCGTGGTCAATCCAGGTGGGGGTTCCTAAGACTTACATCCAATAGGGTGATCCCTGCAGGGACCGCCGTCTGGGGAGAGTGCTTTTGGCCCTGGCCCCACAGACATGGGCACTCCCCCAGGATCCCTTTAATGGGATACCCCAGCATTTGGAGGGGCAGGTGGGGACTACAACCTCCCCTCTGCCCAAAACAAAGGATTGCCCCCAATGCCCAACCAGTTGTGAGGAATTGCTATGAAGCACGTCCAAGTGCAAGTAGATATATAGGTACCACTCTGGCGAGAAGGTAAACGGTGTTTCCGTGCGCTGCTCTGGTTTCGCCAGAAGTGGCTTAATCATGCTGGCCACATGACCCGGAAGCTGTACGCCGGCTCCCTCGGCCAATAAAGCGAGATGAGCACCGCAACCCCAGAGTCGGCCACGACTGGACCTAATTGTCAGGGGTCCCTTTACCTTTTTAGGCAAAACCACCAGGTAAGAGCCAATTATCCTGGTGGGCAAATTCCTACCCGGCCCTGTAAAGAATGGCAACCACCGCAGCCACAGCAAAGTCATTGACTATCAGCTTAAACTGAGGGTGGGTGGCATGGGGAAACCTGGCGCAGGAACAAACCGGCTGTGCCCCAGGTGTGGGCTGCTTAAGCGGGCAAGAGGCGGATCCGAGGGAAGCCCACCGTTGGCTCCATCGGCTCCACCCCCCGGCACAGCCCATATCCCAGGCTGCCTCCCCATTTGCCAAAGCAAGGTGCAGGCTAAAATCCGGTTCCCATAGGCGGCAGGGGATTATGTCCCCTCCACCTATCAGGAAGGGTGCTGCCGCTCTAAGTCCACCATCGGGGCCCCAGTGAAGCATCTTCCGTCCACACTCAAGTTCTGGAAGCTCCCCACACATTTTAGAACCAAGGATTTGGCAAGTAATTGAGTTTGTGCCTTGCAGCGCAGAGGACATGAATTATCCTGTTTCTCTGTTTTTTTAAAAATCGTCGTTTCGCTTTATTTATTTAATAGCACACACTGAACCCTAGTGTTGCAGGTTCCACTGCTATCTTGACATCCTAAAAGAAGTGATCTTGTTCGGGACTCTTGATAGCCTGGAATGAGTACAGTCAGTGACTCTGAATTTCAGGAGTGGGGAATGTATTCTTGCACTCTCATCCTTCAGCTGCTTTGCTATGTGGCACTGGAGGGCTGCCCGATCCAAACTTTCGCGTTTCTAAACTTATACAGCCTGCATTCGCTCCATAAGATGCACACACATTTCCCCTTACTTTTTAGGAGGGAAAATTGAGTCTTATAGAGCAAAAAATACGGTAATTTTAAAATACAGTTTTGCAAGGGGATGCAGTTATTGGAGCTAGACTCATCCATCATCCATATCCATTGGCTATGTAGTCCAAGGCCGGTGGGAGTTGGAGCCTGGCAGCATCCTGCCGCTGGACCAGATATTCCCCATCCCTGATATGAGCAGGGCATTCCACTTCTTCCCACTGTCCGGCGTTTTCCCTTGTTCTTTAGCAACCGCCATTCAGCATTCCAGGGTGACTGACAATGGTGCTGCCAAGTCTGAGGGTTTCCTGAGCAAGATGCCCTCTAAGGGGCCCCCACCCCACTGCCCTGCTATCTAGGTGGTGGGTCTCATGCTACCTGCAAATGGGTACATGGGCGTGATTGAAAATCATCCTGTCATTTCCTCCCTCCTCCTTGCCTGGTAGCAGGAAGGGAATGAATGGGCCTCTTTCCTCATTCCCAAAGGAAAGAAGAAGAAGAAGAGTTTGGATTTGATATCCCGCTTTATGACTACCCGAAGGAGTCTCAAAGCGGCTAACATTCTCCTTTCCCTTCCTCCCCCACAACAAACACTCTGTGAGGTGAATGGGGCTGAGAGACTTCAAAGAAGAGTGACTAGCCCAAGGTCACCCAGCAGCTGCATGTGGAGGAGTGGAGACGCGAACCCGGTTCCCCAGATTACGAGTCTATCGCTCTTAACCACTACACCACACTGGCTCCCATGCATTCCATCTCTGCTCTCCACCCTCAGGTGGCAGCAATATGTTTCCTTTTTAAAAATTTATTTTTTAAAAAGAAACCATTTTGCTGAGCAGGTGCTTTGCTACTGCAGAGGACAGAACCCACATGAGCAAAGCACCTTGGGAAATAAAAATGGCGGATGCAACTGGAGCATCTTCATTCCGCAGCAGCAGCAGCACACCTGCTCTATAACAGGGCCCAGGGCCACTGAGCTGCGATTGGGACCTCTCTCGGTTGTGGGGCCCAAGAACTGCACTCCATTGGCACTGGCTTCTAAGCATGACCAATCCTAACACTGCTCTTTTGGGTGTTTTTGTTTTTTCCCTACCTCTGGGTTGTTGTTGTATAAAAAAAGGTATTTTCTACTTCTCCAAACCTCTGGTGTTTTGTAGCACGGGGACCCCTCTTTCTTGTTTCTCGGTGCCCCCGTTTTGCCTCTACAGTGGTGCCCCGCAAGACGGAAAACCCGCTAGACGAAAGGGTTTTCCGTTTTGGAGGTGCTTCGCAAAACGAATTTCCTATGTGCTTGCTTCGCAAGACGAAAATGTCTTGCGAGTTCCTGCGGGGGGTTTTTCCTCCCCCCCCTTTTTCCCAAGCCGCTAAACCGCTTATCAGCTGATCGTTAAGCCTCTTAACAGCTGATCGCTAAGCCGCTTATCAGCTGATCCGCTAAGCCCGCTAAGCCGCTAATACTGTAGCGCTAATCCGCTAAACCGCTAATGGGCTTGCTTCGCAAGACGAAAAAACCCGCAAGACGAAGAGACTCGCGGAACGGATTCTTTTCGTCTTGCGAGGCACCACTGTATTTCTGCCAACACATTTGCTATTGGAGGAAGTGCTTAGCAAGCACCTTCAGGAAAATTACATGCAGATGATGTACAGATAGTACACAACACCAGTGCAGTTAGGGAAAATGTACAAAACTAGTTCAAATATATGTTGGAAGTGTAAGGAAAAGGAGGGAACATTTTATCATATGTGGTGGGATTGTAAGGTAATTAAAAAAAAATTGGCAAATGATATACAACAAATTGAAGAAAATGTTCCATTTAACATTTGTCAAAAAACCTGAGGCGTTTTTGTTGGGGATTGTAGGGAAAGACCTGCCAAAAAAGTTGAAAAACATCTTCATGTATGCGACAACGGCTGCGAGAGTTTTAATAGCACAAGGATGGAAGACTGAAGAAACCGCAACTAAAGAATCATGGCAAGAAAAATTGATGGACTATGCAGAACTGGCAAAACTGACATATAAGCTACGGGACAAGGATAACTGTGACTTTAAGGATGAATGGGAACCCTTTACAACGTATCTGAAGACGCAACAAAGCGAACTGGACTCCTTGGCAGCTTTGAATAAACATTCACAAACTTTTTATTGATAATAATAAGCTAAATAGTTTGAGGATCTATACAATTGTGTAGCATGCAGAAAACAGCATCTTTAGAGAAATCAAAGACTGGAACTGAGGGAAGTTCAGGGGGTGGGGGTGGGTGGGTTTTGTGTGGGAGGGGGAGGGAGGAAAAACGGGGGAAAACAAGGATGATATGTTTTTGGATAATATGTCTTGTTATAATTTTGAATAATAAAAAAAGGAAAAAGGGGAAAAAAGCAAGCACCTACAAAGCAAAGCTGGAATTAGCAGCGGTGGACAAACAGTCAACCGGCAGCGTTCGAACGTATAAGAAATATTCACAGACGCAGAAGAAAAGGAAGCCAGCCCCTACAAACTGCCACGCTGGATCAGCCAGCTGGCACATCTCACTCGGCCGTTATCTCCTAGCATTCAGTAGCCAGATGTTCCAGGAAAGTCGATAAAGAGTCAAAATGGAAATATTTGTCCACGGGGCTTGGCAGTCAAAGTCTGAGGATGTGGCGTGCAGTTCTGTCTTCGTTAAGGCACCTGATCACGCCCTTAGGCTGTGCGCACACAACCCACCCCTTCATTCATCGGTTTGCAGCAAATAGTAACCCCATCCTGAACTGCAGTGTTTGCCCTGGTTCAAGGCTTGTTGCAAAAAAAAACCCACCCCACCTACACTCTGAAGCTGGATCCTGTGATATGGGGAGAAGCATAGCTGTCAACTTACAGATTTGAAAATAAGGGACCAGCAGCCTCGAAAATAAGGGATCAGCAGCCAAAATAAGGGATCAACAATTACTTTGATAAAATACATATTTTGTTGTGTGCAAATGGCTTTACATACCTACTAGGTCCATAAATTACCATATAGCATATATTCAACACAAAAAACAGCAACAATTTGTTGTTGACAAAGCAAGCTGGACATAGAAAGGGCCCCATTACCTTCAGTAGCTTATTTAAGAGACATCATCAATAAGGGACAGCAGCGGGACATGGTGCTGGGATAAGGGACTGTCCCGCCAAATAAGGGACGCTTGACAGCTATGGGGAGAAGACAAGTGATGGAAAGGACAGCTGTACTGCTTCAGAAATGGCTGCCGCTTCAGAAATGGCAGTAGAAGAAAATGATTATTTCGAAACACACCCTGTAGGGGAGAATGTGAAGAGAGAGGCCAGTTGGTGGTGTTCTTTTTCCTGGTCAGTTGGCAATCCAGTAACGACTTGGCAACCCTTATTAGGCTTCCTACTTAGGAAGAGAGCGAATCCCAGCTACTGGAAAACTTCGCTAGATTT